TTAGAAACCTGAAAAAAAAAAAAAACAAAAAAAAAACAAAAAACTAAAAGCTTGCTTAAATTTAAGCTCGTTGATTTATTGAGATATTAATTGATATATGTCTATAAGTTTGAGTTAACAAACTCAAGTTTACTCACCCATCAATATTAACAATCTAAATTAGACCGTTAACGAATCGAATTCAGATCAAAATAATAAATAAATAACTATGTAAAAACCTTATTCTCGAAAATGAGCTGAGTCGAGCTCACGATCAACTCCTTAACTAAGAAAGTCAACAAATAAACTCGAGTTTACTCATTCATCAACATTAAAGGGTTAAATTTGATCGTTAACGAATTGAATCCAAACCAAAATAAGGTAAAATCAAAATTAAAAGAATACGTAAAAATTTTATTCTCGAAAATGAGCTGAGTTGAGCTCATAACTGGTTCACGTACTCACTTAACTCATAGGTGCAATCTACAAACTCATAAATTAATGGTTGATTTGTGATTTATTTTTGTCATTAATTTATAAATTTTATTGTTTTTTTATCTATGACTCGTATCTATATCTATATAGTTGTAGGTTATTCATTTATTGTAAAATAAAAAAATTTCCACCCAAATTTTTCAGTTTATTAGTATTAAGTTTGTAATAAATATAATAATATTTATAAAAATTGTAACGGTTATGTTTTAAAAATAAACTTAATTATGTGATTTGTTATTTTGGTAAACAATAAGCAATGTTATATTTTGGTGTAACATTTGAATATTACTACAATATATCTCTTCTTTTGGTTGAAAAATAATTTTAAAGTTGGGCTTCAAATTATTCATGCTTAATTTGAACCATGTACAACAATATGGAGTTTCAAGACAATTATTTAGAAGTAATATATAAATTTCGAATTTGTCTTAGGAAATAAATGATAAAAATAAGCCATAATCCTATTAATTATTTTGCGTTTTTTTATTTGTATAGATTTCATTATTAATTTGATGTGGTTCTATATATTAAAATAAATCTATTTTCAGTTTAGTAATGTAGATTGTTATTAATTTTGTCATGTTATGTTATAAAACAACTTACATTGTTTTTAATGTGTCTTACAAGTTAGGTTTGATATTTTATAATGACCAATTTTTTTGTAAAAAAAGTCTGAACATATATGTATCAAATGTTAAGTGAAAAAATATTAGATGAAATAATCCAATTGTAACTGTATTTTATTTTATTATTAATACAATCAATACGATAATTATCTTAAGATACTAATATATACTATATAAAATTTATACTGTCTATTTCAAATTTATAATTTTTTTTACACTTTGGTGATACTTTTATGATTATTATCATTATGATTCTCAAAGTACATATAAAATTATGTTTTTTATTATATTCATATAATAATTATTAACATACAATAAATACTTCATTTAAACTTTTCTATAGAAATCTAAAATTTCAGCTAAGGGTAAGTTATGTAACAATGCAATAATAAATATCATTAATATAATTAAATAATTTTATATTTTCAATTGTTATTTTTATATGAAAAATTTGTATTTTTTTTTTTATGTTATTTGTGTATGTGCACAGAATAAACTACTAGTATAAATGGTATATCTATGGTTCTATGTTAAATGTTGT